TGATCCCTCCACTTCAAGAAAATACCACCAACCTCCTTTTGCTACTGTGATTGAAGTTGTTTATAAAACTGCCAATATAGTGCCTGGCATATATTATTTGTTCAGTAAATATGACTTCCCTTTCTAATTTGCTGTGCAATCCTACACAGCCATCAATATTGTCTGACAATATGTGTGAAAACAGTAAATCCTCAAGTTTTTTAAGGTTATTATTATTACTACTTTTTTAAAAATCCTCACCCGAGGATATTTTTCCATTGATTTTCGGAGAGTGGAAGAGGAAGGGAAAGACAGAGAAAAATATCAATGTAGGAGAAACACATCGATTGGTTGCCTCCTGCATGTGCCCCAACCAGGGCCCGGGCAGGGAAGGAGCCTGCAACCGAAGTATGTACCCTTGACTGGAATTGAAACCGGGACCCTTCGGTCTGCAGGCCAATGCTCTATCCACTGAGCAAAACTGGCTAGGTATAAACCCTCAATTTTGCGGATCACAATATAACAGACTTCAGATTTAACGGACAAAATTTCTGGTCTGTATGTCATATGTGAAAATTAACACGCTGTTACTTTAAAAATGCTTTTAAACAAGATTTGCTTATAAATTAATAGGCTTGTTATTCATTCACTGTTACTTTAAACAAATTTTAGTGAATAGGCCATATGTTGGGAAAAACACAATAGTAATATTACATATCTACAACTATAGCCTGCATATTTAAATCCAAGAGTCACTACTCATAAACAATGCTCGGCAGATGATTAGTATGCGATCACACTGCATCTTGAGGTAATTGGTTCTGTTGTCTGTTGTGTGACTTTCTGCAGTTGCTGGCCAGATGTTCCTACATGCGCTAAGCCACACCCCAGCCATGTGCATTTGTTTCCTGGAGGTGACTGGTGAATGCATGCATTTATTAGACCTATTTAGTATAAACTTAAAATTACAGTAATACGTATAGAAAACCTCTGTGAAATTAAACTTTTCATGCAGAATTTTAATTACACAAACATGTCTACATAAGTAAAAACAGGTAAACTAATTTTTTGATTTTTTAACATAATGTATTCAGAAAACCTACTTTATTATATAACAGACTTTTAGCTTTAACGGACACCTCCTCACCCCAAATAGTCTGTTATATAGAGGTTTTACTTATGCTACAAATATCTTTATGCCTTTTAGCACAAGAACAGGGAAACACAAAGTCTCCTTTTCCAGTGTTTTTTATTTGCATATTTAACATTCACAAATAATTTTACAGATTTATCCTTTTTACAGATTCATTATTTATGGGCAAGATCAGGATTAAAGTGGAGTACTGAATGGTTCCAAAAAATTACCAGCAGGGATGTCACGGAGTACAAAGGCTCAGAAAGAGAGAACAGAGCAAATAAGAGCAGTGTGTGGCCACTTCCTACCAGGCCACAGGAACACTGATTTCATTAAGGCAAAGCCTTTACTGTTATTTCTTTTCCCTTTCTAGTTTAACTCAAATAAAAAGGCATTCTATTCTCACACTAATGCTCTCTGAGGTCTTAATATAACTGGTACTATAAGCAACTAGATGTATCCTTTGACTATAAACACCTGAACAGACAAGTGAAATTTTGATGTATTAACCATCCCTCTGGGAGAATTTTTTTTTTTTTTTTAAAGCAGAGTTGTTTTATCCTTAAGACTTCCAAAGAAAAAGGGGAGGGGTATATGTGTGTGGTCATGGTGGAAGTTGAGGGGAGATGAAAGGGGTTCAAGGAGGGAAAAAGGTGGCAAACCTAACACTTCCCATGTACAACTTTCCTTGTGTTTTTCTCAGAGGCTGCTAATATAATATTCTATCATATTCAGGAAAAAAAAAAGATTGAGAGTTGTCTACCTTTAGTCAGTTGTAGGATGTAATGGCTAGTAACAGAGAACTTACCCTGGGGAAGGAGTATATTCATTTCATATACATAACAATGAAATTCAAAATTGTGCCCCACTATGTTCTCATCTAATCTGGGTTTTTTTTTTTCTGTTTTAAATCAATATACTTAACCTTTCTGTGCCTCAATTTTCTACTTGTAAAAGGAGAACTGTAGTTCTTTATGTTGAGGATTAGAGATGCATGAAAAGTACTTCAGAATAGTGCCTGGCCAAATCAACAGAGACAGAAAGCAGACTGGTGGTTGCCAGAAACTTGGGAGAAGGGGAACGGGGAGTAACTGCTAATGGATATGCATTTGTGTGTGTGTGTGTGTGTGTGTGTAGTGATGAAAAAGTTCTAAAATGAGAGTGGTGATAGATGCAATTATATAAACATACTGAAAAAAATCACTGACTTGTACATTACTTTAAAAGGATGAATTTTATGGTTAAAGGATCTCAATAAAGCTATAAATTTTTTTTAAAAAAATAGAATAGTGCCTGGCACACAGTAAGTGCCCAATAAATGTTAGCTATTATTAGTAGTAACACTATTGTCATTATTATGCCTAAGTAAATCCCTCAAAATTCTTTATTTTTAATAAAAGCCCACAGAATCTAAAAAAGTATTTCTAATTTACATACATGGATTAACATTCACACATTTATTTCTATCTAAATTGCCTCTGAAATTAACAGTATGAGAATCACAATTTCACTATTTGTCTGTAATCAAACAGCTGCATACAACGGACATCTGATCACATCATGATAGGCTTAAATTCCAATGACTAGATGTTATACAAAATTTTGAAATGACCGGAGATTTTCATTCATCTCCAGGAGTAAACAGGAAGCCCAGGAAATAGAATATGTAAAGGACATAATTAAGTCTTCATATACAGGCTTGCTAGCCTTCCAATCTCATTTTAGGGGGTACTTTATAAAAAGACAATTGTAGTCAACAGCAAAATGCTTCCAGTCCCATGTCCTATGACTCCACCTTGTCCAACAACAGAAAACCCCCACCACAATGAAAAGACCCAATGCAACCCATGTAATAAGCCTTATAAGAGATAAAAGTCTTGACAATTAATGACTGACTTTTAAGACTATACTGCATATTCAAATATGTTTGCATCAATTGAGTTTTTATAATTTGGACAGTGATTAAATCAGTTTTAACCATTCCTATTGCTAAAGAATATAACAATGAGTCTCTATCTCAGAAGTAGGAGCAAGTGATAAGCCATGATGATAGAAACGATGCTCACACACTGTAATTTCCTCTGAAGCATGGAACTTCCCAATTCCTGGAACAGGGTTGCCTTTGTTGGAGTCTCCTTCCCTTCTAGTTCTCCTTTCTATAATTAGACATGTGCCTTTGCAGCCAATCAGTGAAAGCTGTTGAGGGTTACAACTTCCAGATACTCAGGACTTTTGTCACAGAAACCAATGCACTTTTTGTATGTAAGAAAATATTTATACCCTCAAACTGACTACTCATTTTCAGAAAGATAATTAAATTTCCATTTTACCCACCTTCATTTAATCCAAGTAAACCCTTTGCTAAGTCATCCAAGAGCAACAGATTAATACACAGAACAAACTGCCTTCACATCTACTATGTATAACCTTCTTCCATATGTACACACACAAATTCCTCACAGAGTTGTGGCCTTAAGAATTTCTCACCAAATATTTAGCCTGAGTAAAATTTGGTAAATATTTAATTTCCTTTTGAGAAGCAGGTTTTTTCTTTAATTTTACATTATAATCACTGAAGCAGAGTATAAAACAACTTTGGAACAGAGATCTTTTTAGTGGCAGTTAGAAAATTTCAGACAATGGATATGGATAATTTAGGACTAATTTCAAAATTAGGTCCAGTTTCAAAATATTGACTTTACCTAACTAAAGCATTGGCTTAGTCCTCGCATATGAGGACTAAGGGAATCTGAAATAAATACAAATATACTAGTATAACCAAAAAAATTTGGCCAAGGCTGGGACAGAGGGGGCCAACTTTGTAATGCTTTTGTAGTTGAATATCATTCTAAGAATCTAACTGTCGAAGTATTGTTCCCCTGGTTAATCTGAGGATGGAGAATATATGTTTTTAAAATCATATATCTCTGTTTAGGTAGTCTTTAAATATAAAATGAATAAATATTTAAATTCTATGCTAAAGAAATAATGTGGAATAAGAAATTCCTAAGTAATTGTATATTTACAATAAATGTTTTCTGCCTGACACCTAGACTTTGTCTATTAAGAGTTCTTCAGTGTGCAATTTATAGAAGGCAGCAGCTCATATTACATTGAAGGAGCCCCATTTAGCTTAGAATCAGTCTGCTCCAGACACTCTACTCCCTGAAAAGCCTTCACATTTGTGTGCATAAATAGCTGAGAATACATGTAAGTGCACATGTCTAAGGAGAGCTAATTTGCTTTACAAATAAAGTCCAGAACCAATAAATTGCTATTCCCCAACCCCGAAATCACATCTAATGAAAAGGTGGCAGCTGTAAAGCCAACTCATCCTACATTACGCTTTAATGTAGGCCGTACCACACAGAATAATGAAGAATTCCTTATAGCTATGCTGTATTCAAACTTCCTCATTCTACCTTTAGGAGAAGGTGCCCACATATACCTTAGGGACCCACCAATCTGTATTTCGGAGGTGTTCTACTTGGATTAATTCAAGCATTGGACCACCAAGAGCTTCAGTCAAAGGAACATTACATGTTGCTAATATCTTAGCTTGCATATTCAGAGCTAGGGTGTATGATTAAAACTAGAGCCAAGCTGGTGTTGCTCAGTGGTTAAGCATCAACCCTATGAACCAGGAGATCAAGGTTCAATTCCTGGTCAGGGCACATGACTGGATTGTGGGCTCGATCCCCACTAGGGGGCATGCAGGATGCAGGCAATCAGTGATTCTCTCTCATCACTGATTTTTTTCTTTCTCCTTCTCCCTTATTCTCTGAAATCAATAAAAACATATTTTTTAAAAAGATTAAAACTAGGTGTCACTGAAGTGCTGTTAAGCAGGGCAATAAGGTGATACAGAAAGACTGAAATAAGCTAATTTTTGTCTTTTGCTTTTATTTAAAGCAACAGGTGCAGAATTTTCTATGATCAAAACCTGAATACAGGTTAATGCATGTTTTCTTCTCCCATATCTATGAACCCCATCTATCATTGTCTTTTTAAACTTAAGAGAGAAATAAAAGAAAATGGGTACAGATTTATTTATTCTAATAAGTCATAAGACAATGTGTTTAAGAGCTACACCTAAACTAGTATTCTCAAAATTGAAAATACAGTTACCAAATCTATTCAACTTGCAGGAGGTATCCATGTGCTTTCCAAGTCATTGGTAGTCACCCAAATGGACCATAGTGTCCGCTACCATGCCTTAAGAAGACATTATACTATGTGTACTATGCACATGTATTTTAAAGAAATAGAGAAAAGTAGATAAAAAGAATAGCCTTTCAAATATCAGTTCCTTACATAAGTCGTGACAGTGCTTATGGCTCCCTTGTAATCTTTTCACATAGCCAGTTACAAAATACCTCTAAAATTAGACAAAATAAAGCCAGAGGCAAAGTTCCATGGGGAATTACATTGTTCAGATGAGCTTTCAATTCACTGGTTTTTAATTTCCATTTCCTGATTTATTAAGGAGTAAAGGTGAGAATCATCCAACTGATGACAAAATAGAATAAGAAAACAGGATAAACGGCAAGGGCTTTGCGGTTTGGAGGCTGGCTGTCAGCAAGAAAAGCTGTAGAGGCTGAAGAAAATAAAACAAAACAAAAAAGAATATTGAATACAATGAGATTGTCATAACTACTAACATTTACTAACTTTAATGTGCTCAGCATAGTCTGGAATAGAGTTATACTAAAAGTACTTATATTTGCAAATCAGAGAAAAAGGCATTCTGCCGCACAGTTTTCCTCACAGCTGAGGGCTGCTTGTTTCAAGTACCAAAGCTTTGAAAGTTTTCAGCATTTCAGATGGAAACCCTTCCAAAAGGGGTCTCTTACTGTTTTCTGAGAAATCATTAAACTGTGCTGAATAGGCTTACAATAATGTGCAAGTTTTTTCGCTACTATGACAAATGGCCTTATACTGCTGGGTCTTTTGAGTAATTGTTCTTATTAAGTTAGCTCTTTTAGATGCCATCCCTCTTGTCCACCAGGAAAAACCTAATTATCAATGATCACCCTGCAAAGAAATCTTTCCTGAACAACCAGCTGGTATCCTGCCAGCTCAGGTAAAACTGCCCACTTCCCTCCCCTTTGTCCCTTCTGTGCCTACACAGATTTCCATCTCCCACCTGAAACACTTTATTGTCTTTAAGTATTTATATGTCTGGCTGATCCACTGGACTGTGAACTCTGAAGATAGAGGCCATGCCTAGCACAGTGCCTAACACTTAATTTGTGCTTTATAAACATTTGCTGAATTAAAGAATGAATGCTTCTAAAATTCTACTTTCTGAACTGCTGTGGGCCTGGATACTGGATAATTAAGCTGTTCAGAACTACATGTATGATAAATTATCAGACTCTAAGTGAGGAAATCTGGGACTTTCCCAAAGGTAAAGCACCCAAGCTTAATATACAGTCTTTGGAATATCAATTCTGGCACTCTCAGATTTTTATTTTTTATCACTTCTTGGCTTTTAACCATGTTCCAAGCAAAGAGATATTACTGCACTTAAAATATTAGGTAGTCTGTTTATCTCATTTAATAAGAGGCCAGGGAACACTTCTAGTGTAAAGTAGAATTTTAAGAGAATTTTAGGAATGCTAAAACAATCAGCACATAGCATTCAATGCCACTGCTATAGATTCTTTCTTCCTAATCTTTAGCAGAATTTTCTATTGAAGCAGGAAAGTACTATATAATGATACTTAACAACTTATACTAGGAGGTAGTAAAGTTCTAAAATGTGGCCGAAACCGGTTTGGCTCAGTGGATAGAGCGTCGGCCTGCGGACTCCGGTCAAGGGCATGTACCTGGGTTGCGGGCGCATCCCCAGTGGGGGATGTGCAGGAGGCAGCTGATCGATGTTTCTCTCTCATTGATGTTTCTAACTCTCTATCTTTCTCCCTTCCTCTCTGTAAAAAATCAATAAAATATATTTAAAATAAAATAAAATGTGATCTGCTTGGGTTTGAAATAGAGAAAAGTTGATTCATCTATTCAGTAATTATATGTCCTAAGGCAAGTTACTTCAACTCTCTGAGTCTGTTCCTCATCTATAAAAATAGGACTACTAACAATAGTTTTTATTTATTAGGGTCGTTGTGAGGGGTAAATGAGATAATACATACAAATCACTTACAATAGTGCTTAATCTATGATTAACAATATGTAAATGCTAGCTATTATTTTTATTTTTATTAATTTGTCAGGAAAAGATCCAGCATTTCTCAAGTCACCTATGCCTCCTATATATACCAGGACTGAGCTAGGTCGACTGTAATCTCCTTTTCCAACCCTATGTAATATTTAAGGATTAGAAAAAAAAAGGTGTAACTCTGCCCGGCTGATGTATCTCAGTGGTTGAGCATTGACCTATGAACCAGGAGGTCACAGTTGGATTCCCAGTCAGGGCACATGCCTGGGTTGTGGGCTTGATTCCCAGTAGCGGGCATGCAGGTGGCAGCCAATCAATTATTCTCTCTCATCACTGCTGTTTCTCTTTCTCTCTCCCTCTCTGAAATCAATAAAAATATATTTTTAAAAAAATGTGACTCCTACATCTTAGAAGTACAGATACCCAACTCAGATAAGATGGATATCATATCTATCAATGCCCATTTAGAAAAGAGGGTTCTATGGACAACATAGGCAAGAATCATATTACTCACATGTTAGTTAGGAGTTACACTGCTTTTTATCTGGTCTTTATCTCTAACACATGCTTTTGTCTGCTCTGCTATTGTAAAGATAAGTACATTCTGACTCTTGTGACAGGCAACCAATCAATGTGTCTCTCTCGCATTGATGTTTCTCTCTCTCTGTTTCTTCCATTCTCGCAAAAATTCTATGGAAAAATATCCTCGGGTTAACAAAACAAAAAAAAAACGTAAGTACATTCTTACCTACTATAGACCAGGCAAACATCATGATCACCACAAAAAGCCGAACTATGAAGTTTATTGGTCCTGGCTTGGCCAAAAGTACCAGCCGGCAAACCAGCAATGCCACTGTCAAGGGAAGTATACAATAACCCAGCACACAGAGGCTCTGAAAAAAAGATCTAAAAAACAGCACACACCCATAAAAATCATAAATATAGTATCATGATAGTTATTACACAGATTTCTACATAATACCTATACCCTAACATTGACTTTATGAGGCTAGGCCTCTGCATTAGCATATGCTTTAATTTTTGTCTCCATACTCTTCCTTCTCTCCTTTTAAACTCCTTAAGAGTCAAACATCTAGGACAGTGGTCGGCAAATTGCGGCTCGCAAGCCACATGCGGTTCTTTGGCCTCTTGAGTGTGGCTCTTCCACAAAATACCACGTGCGGGCACGCATGTACAGTGCAATTGAAACTTTGTGGCCCATGGGCAAAAGCCGGTCTTTTGTGGAAGAGCCACACTCAAGGGGCCAAAGAGCCACATGTGGCTTGCGAGCCGCAGTTTGCTGACCACTGATCTAGGATATCAGATGATCTACTCTAATTCCTAAAGACCTCTTTCTCCCAATGAACCTCTAAGACAGTTCTTAATCTTTTCTAGTTTATAGATCTATTTGAGAGTTTGTTGAAAGCTATGGACCATCTGTTCCCCAAAATGGACATAATCTTCTAACACAAAAAATTCTGCCTATGATTTTAGAGCTGGAGAGACCATTTAAAGCTTATCAAAGGACTCTGGGTAATTTAAGATAATTTAACTCAACCAAGTTATCTCTGTTCAGTGGTTTTAAGAGAACATTCTCTTTATTCCTCATTTATTTTTATTTTTATTTTCAAAAATTACCTACTAGCCCAGCCAGTGAAGCTCACTGGTTGAGCATCAGCCTATGAACCAGGAGGTCTCGGTTCAATTCCTGGTCAGGGTACCTGCCCAGGTTGCGGGCTCAATTCCCAGTAAGGGGCATGCAGGAGGCAGCCAATCAATGATTCTCTCTCATCACTGATGTTCCTCTCTCTCTCTTCCTCTCCCTATCTCTCTGAAATCAATAATAAAAAAAAAATTACCTAACTAGCCAGACTCCCTTAAAAATCTCAGATATGCTACCTAGCGAATAAGAAAGGATGGATTTTAATAATACTCACATGTTTCCTCCAAGAAGTTTTGAGTTGAGGGTGATGGTAACTGCACCAAACCAGATAATGACAAACACTTCTGCAAACTGGGGCCCTCCATCATTTTCACTATCTGCAGAGCCTCTTTGAAGCATTCTGTGACAAAAGAAACATGGCATGAGAATGTCTACTTTTTTACTTAAAGCAATAAAGGCATGGGTTCTCAAAGTTTGAATCAGGGAACTGCCCTACACCTCACCTGAAGATCTGTAAAATGTAGGCTGTGTGAAAGGAAAATTCCAGAAGGATTTGTTAAGCCTCCATTCTTTCCAATTCCAAATGCCTCAGGAGTACAAGGAATATTCCATTTGGCTTTGTTGGAATGTTTAAAAGGATCACCAAAGGCCTTTTTTGGGTAAGCAGAGGTTATAAACTGAAAAGTCAAATGTGGCTCACAGACGTGCTTGAAATGCTTTTAAATTCAAGTTAACATTATTTTAAAATTGAGAGGTTTCACATAAAAATAATGTATTTCTAAAGTTTTTGTTTGTTTGTTTGTTTTGTTAATGTAAGAGAGAAAAGAAGGGGGAAGAGGAAGGGAGATTTGTTGTTCCACTTATCTATGCATTCATTGGTTGATTCTTGTATGTGTCCTCATTGGGGATCGAGCCTGCAAGCTTGGAATATTGGGACAATGCTCTAACCAACCGAACTATATGACCAGGGCCTATTTCTGGGTTTTCTTGAAAAATCAGAAGAGTTTCTAACATGGAGCTGGCATCCTACATGACAACAATCAGGTGCAGTTGGCATAGCAGTAGGTTCCACAAAGGGCTTCCAGTCACCAATTCACAATGCATGCATTCAACTTACTTCTCTAGCCCTTAGACACCTTTGAATTTGTAATCCTTGGGTTAAGGTTTCAGTTCTGACATTTAAAAATGAAAAGTCTATAAACCTATTTAGTTGTTGATTTTTTTAAATAAAAATATACAGATTATTACTAAATGACTGCTTTCAAATTGAGTAGTTGAACAGTCACTTAAATATCCTTTCTTTATCTAAGAATTTTACAGATGTAAACTGTCTTGAATTTTGGACTTAGAACACTTGTACTTGGTGTTCATTTTTTAAGAAAAATAGTAAGTAACATCAAGTTCATGACCTCTTCTTATTATATGGTATAGAGAAGTCACACAGTAAGGCTTGCCCTGCTATGCTGTTTGCCAGTAAAGGCTTTTATATTCTGTGGTCATGCATACTTCATTCTGAGTCCTAACAATCTGAGGCAAAGAATGCCAGCACTCATGATCACGTGTTGCCTGAAATCCCTATTGCTTCATCATGGTATAATAAAAAAAACATGAATTGGCCTGGAAAACAAAAGAGCCAGATACTGATTCTAGTTCTGTTACTAGGTATGTAAACTAGAGAACATTACGATGTCTTGGGGCTCCAGTTTTCTTCTCTGCAAATAAGGAGTTAAATGACATAATCTCTAAGGTTAATCTTTGAAACTAAAAAAAGTATATGCCCAGAGCTTCTAATATAAACCCTCCTATCAACACACTGAATTATTTCCTTGTTATGGTTATTAAAAACATAAAAAACAGCACTTTATGTTATGACCTAAATTAGCATATGCTTGACACATTAAAAAAATGGGTAGAGAAGCCAGTAAGAAACTTGTTGAATTTAGAATCATAAAAGGTTAGGCCTTGAAAGGACCCTTAACCATGTCCTTTTACAGATAAATAAGAGAAAACCCAGAAAGGTTAGGTGGGAAAAGATGTGCAATATTCACAGAGGTAGAGAATGGACAGTCAAAGAAACCTAAGGTAAATCCCAAGTTTAGCACTGATTATGTGATCTTGGTTCATCCTCACTCTCCATGAATCTAAGTTTGTTGAAAAAGGAAAATCACACTCACCTCTTGTTATAAGAGAAGGCAAAATAAGAGAAAGCATTTAAAAGTTTTCTGGGGAAAATCATTATAAAATTTTGGTTACTAATAGCCCAAAGTCACTTTGCTGACAGCAGTCAGGATGAGATTCAAGAACTGAATCGAGAATAAATCCCTTTGGTCATGTAATATTAATCTTTTAATATGCTATCTTTTATTTAGTGTTATTGCCCTGATTGTCATGAGTGAAACTGGCCTGTAGATTTGTGTGTACCTGTGGGCACATATGTGCTTTATGTCCTCATCCATTTTAAGGTGATTTTACTAGCTTCACTCTCAGAGAGTGACCTTGCTCCAGTGTCATTGGGGTTCCTTTCGGTGGCCACCTAGAGGTTGATTTCAATAAAATTGATTTTTTAAACATAAATATTGGACTTTAAAAAAAAAAAAAAAAAAAAAAAAAGAACTGAATCGTAATACATTATTTTTTCCACTCTACCAATTGTTATAGTCCCCTCTCCAATGGAACTTTGCTCTCCTTCTCCCTGAGGCTCCCTGTATATAAAATGCATATGGACAGCATCACACTTGGAAATGTGATCTTGCTCTGAACTCTACCACTTCTCTGTAATAAATTCTCATACATATCTTAGTAAGATTTAAAAAGAATTACATTTGCAAATAAATAGTGCTTAAACCTATAGATATTTAATACACTTAATGATAGGGAAGTGTACACAAATAAATATTTGTTGATCAGAATACCTAAAACAGGCTAAGAAGTCATTGGTAAATGGAGATAGACATAATTTTTACATTTTTTATTCCATCACTCTTTGAACTGATCTGGTAAGCTACCTGACTTTTTAATTTATTTATTTTTATTTTATTTTGTGCTACCTGACTTTTTAGATTTTTTTTTTCAGTTAACAATGCCTGAGTTAGGATGGGAACTTTATTTTATTTATTTTTTTAATTTCTTTATTGATTAAAGTATTACATACGTGTCCTCATCCCCCCATTACCCCCCCAACCACCACTACTCATGCCCTCACCCCACCGTTGTCTGTGTCCATTGGTTAGGCTTATATGCATGCACACAAGTCCTTCGGTTGATCTCTGCCCCTTACCCCCACCCTCCCCTACCTTTCCTCTGAGGTTTGACAGTCTGATTGATGTTTCTCTGTCTCTGGATCTGTTTTTGTTTTA